TTTTTTTAAACAGGTAAAACTATAGAAATTAGTTAAATCTCTATTACATAAAAGATTAGCGGTTACCAGGGGTTCGTAGGAGGGAGGGGAGAGATGAATAGGCAACATACAGGGGATTTTCAGTATGGGGAAAACGATTCAGTGTGAAACTCATGGTGAATACATGACATTTGGGGTTGGTCAAAACCCAGGGAACTTTAAAACCTGAAGAATGAACCTAATGTATCAATATTCCTTCATTAGTTGTAACAGATGGTACCACACTAATGCAAGATGTTACAGGGGAAATGGTGGGGGTGGAGAGGGGAATGTGTATAGAACTCTATGCAATTTCCTCAGTCCTGTGAATCTAACACTTTAAAAAGCATATACATGTTTCAAAAGCTATAGACTCCCTTTTCCTCTTTCAATCAAGAGTTAGGAAAAAGTAGGTGACTGAGAAAAATTACATTCCTATCTGTTCATCTGCTGGATTCAGGTATCTCGAAAGAAATACCCAAGCAAGGGAAGTATATAAGGACATTAGTGATTGTAAGTCTCCATAAGGAGGTCTCAGAAACTTTCTGGTCTCCAGGTAAGTGTAATTTTAAATCATAAGCTCTAATACCTTGAGGGTAGACTGTAAGGTGGTTGTAATATAATATAACCCTGGATTCCACATTCTCATGAGCTGAGAGTACTCAGGAATTAATGGACAATCCAGCAAAAATCGGTTCACAGCAACCCTAGAGAAGCTTTCTCCAGCTACATCCTTATACTAGGCACGAGTACAAGATAGTATTTTGGATTGAGAATCAACCTGTCATTATTTTCCTGTGCGGTTTGAGATTAAACAAGTTTGGGGGAGCAGCTGAGTCCCTAGGGTTAGATTCTAAGGCCTTGTGACCCATAGTCCTGTCTGCCAGTTTTGTAGCAGCTTAGAGTGGCAGTGGTGGATGGGTTATATTTGTTTGTCTGTGTTTAATAGTCTTCCATTGTTGGTTGAAAAAGACTCCACACTGCCTAGAAGAGCAGGCTTGAGGCTTGACACAAGAGTTGCCTGGTTCACTCTTTCCCATTTATCTAGAGTACCGTAATCCAATCTTACTTTAGAGCAGGTCAGCGAATTGATCCAGCCTACCTCCAATTTTTGTATAGCCTTCAAGCTAGGAGTGGTTTTCTAAGTGGTCGGGGGGAAAAAAAGCCAAAAGAATAATGTTTCACAACATGTGAAAATTATATGAAATTTAAATTCAGTGTCCATATAAAGTTCACTTGGAACATAGCCAGGTACATTTGTTTACAGATTTTCTGTGGTTGCTTTCTCAAGATAACAGGAGCATTCAAGAATTGTGAAAAAGATTGTATGGGCCACAGAGGCTAGAATATTGACTGCTGATCTCTTACAGAAAAAGTTTGCCTACCCTTGCTTTGGAGTATTAAATTAAATGGTTCACTAAACTGTGTCTGATGGTGCATGTCTATAATCCCAGCTACTCAGGAGGCTGAGGTGGGAGGATCCCTTGAGCCCAGAAGTTTGAGACCAGCCTGGGTAACATAGCAAGACTCTATCTCCAAAAAAAAAAAAAAAAATGAAAGAGGTTTGAAAGACTCAGGGAAACTCCTAGTAGTAACAGAGTTATTCTTAGGGAAGATGACATTGAGAACATCTGACTTCAGCTGTATTAATTTGAGGGTAGTGACTAAGAAAACTTGGAGTGTGATGGAATGGAGGGGATAGGATGTCTTCCTTTTCTCTTTAGGCCCAGAAATAATAACAGCCTTTTGATAGATAAAAATAAATGTCTTTTCAAGGTATATTCATGTTACTACTAATCACTTACTGTCTTATTATTAATATCAGCTTTATGTTTAAACTTAACATAATTTAAACAAAGTAGGCCACGCACAGTGGCTCATGCCTGTAATCCAAGCACTTTGGGAGGTCAGGGTGGGTGGATCACTTGAGGTCAGGAGTTTGAGACCAGCCTGGCTAACATGGTGAAATGCCATCTCTACTAAAAATACAAAAATTAGCCTGGCATGGTGGCAGGTGCCTGTAATCCCAGCTACTTGGGAAGCTGAGGCAGGAGAATTGGTTGAACCTGGGAGGCGGAGGTTACAGTGAGCCAGGATCACGCCACTGCACTCCAGCCTGGGTGACAGAGCAAGACTCCATCTCAAAAAAATAAAATAAACAAATAAATAAACTTTGTAATCATTTCCATATCTAAAGTGTAGGACATCAAGTGAGATCTCAAACACCCTAAAACAAGATAACCATCTCTCGTATCATTTCCAAATCTCTTACACTTACGTATCCATACTACTGAAGCTAGAGAAAGCACAGGTAATAGAAAACCGCAAGTTAACCAGACACCTGGACAGTTCCAGCCTTCCGTAGACTTTCACTCAAGCTATCAGGAAAAAAGCCACACTAGTTAGTGTCGCCCCTTCTTGTTGCTCTCCACATCTGGTGGAGAAATGCTATACTTAGGAGCAATGAAATGGCCAAAAGGTGGCAGCCAGACCAGGGAGGAGAAGAGGAGGAGGAACAGAGAGCCTTCCATCCACACGCTGGGTGAGCCCTCTCTGGTGATCTGGAGTTGGCTGAACTTCTATCAAGACACGATCTTTTTCTCTAGGTCTTCTTCCCATAACCAAATAAGCATTTCATAACAATTTTTTTTTTTTTTTTTTTTTTTTTTTAGACAGAGTTTTGCTCTTGTTACCCAGGCTGGAGTGCAATGGCGCGATCTCAGCTCACCGCAACCTCCGCCTCCTGGGCTCAGGCAATTCTCCTGCCTCAGCCTCCTGAGTAGCTGGGATTACAGGCACGCGCCACCATGCCCAGCTAGTTTTTTGTATTTTTAGTAGAGACGGGGTTTCACCATGTTGACCAGGATGGTCTCGATCTCTCAACCTCGTGATCCACCCGCCTCGGCCTCCCAAAGTGCTGGGATTACAGGCTTGAGCCACCGCGCCCGGCCAACATAGAGTATTCTTGAGAGAAAGAGCTGAACTTGGTTTCTGTTATAATATTTAGCATTTTTGACTCTAAATAGAACATTAAGTGGAGGAATTTTAATTGATTTTATTTTTTTCTAAAGAGCAGATTTTCAGTCTAGCATAGAATTTGACTTGAGTACAAACATGCTTGTAACTTATGTAATTTAAGGTATGTAATGGTGAGAACTGAAGATCGTGTGTGTTCTTAGTTGGATATGCTCTTCTAAAAGAGAATGTTTCCATTTTATCATTAGTCTAATAGCAATTTTTAATTCGTTAAAGTTTGAAAGATAGGTAATTTTTAGGTGAGGGAGAAAACATTTAATACATCATTTAATGAAAAAAAAACTACCAAATTATATCTCTATGTTTCTTTTTTAGTTTTCATATGAAGGAGGGTTAAAAGGGAACTTTCCATAGGAAATTAAAATAGTTAATGTGTTTGGCCGGCATAACTATAGGTGACCTAACTTTGTTTTGTTTTGTTTTGTTTGTTTGTTTGTTTGTTTTATTTTTTTATTTTATTTTATTTTTTTTTTTGAGACGGAGTTTCGCTCTTGTTACCCAGGCTGGAGTGCAATGGCGCGATCTCGGCTCACCGCAACCTCCGCCTCCTGGGCTCAGGCAATTCTCCTGCCTCAGCCTCCTAAGTAGCTGGGATTACAGGCACGCACCACCATGCCCAGCTAACTTTTTGTATTTTTAGTAGAGACGGGGTTTCACCTTGTTGACCAGGATGGTCTCGATCTCTCGACCTCGTGATCCACCCGCCTCGGCCTCCCAAAGTGCTGGGATTACAGGCTTGAGCCACCGCGCCCGGCCGTTTTGTTTGTTTTTAATTCCTTCCTTCCTTCCTTTCTTTCTTTTTCTTTCTTTCTTTTTCTTCTTCTTGTGTATGTGTTACCTTATTTCTCTTATTATTATAGGATATTATTCATGCAATAAATAATATTCAGGGATGGGGAGAAATCTTGGGATCTGTAGTTTACGATAAATCTCAACACTTTTCTTGTTTCTGCAAAGACTGTGCCCTTACTGTTTCCCGTATTTGGTCTTAACCCAACTGTGTCTCTTTTGTTATCAGCCCCTGAAGTCAGCATATAGTTAATGCTGCAAATGGTACTTTGAGATTTGTGCAATATAGCAATATAGGATTGTAAATGCCTCACAACACCATCCCTTCCATTCTTTTTTTTTTTTTTTTTTTTTTTTTTTTGAGATGGAGTTTCGCTCTTGTTACCCAGGCTGGAGTGCAATGGCGCAATCTCGGCTCACCGAAACCTCCGCCTCCTGGGTTCAGGCAATTCTCCTACCTCAGCCTCCTGAGCAGCTGGGATTACAGACATGCACCACCATGCCCAGCTAATTTTTTTTTTGTATTTTTAGTAGAGACGGGGTTTCACCATGTTGACCAGGATGGTCTTGATCTCTTGACCTCGTGATCCACCCGCCTCGGCCTCCCAAAGTGCTGGGATTACAGGCTTGAGCAACCGTGCCCAGCCCCATCCCTTCCATTCTAACAGTCTGGGAAGCAGTATAGCAGACGGGTTAAGAGCAGCTATGGATTTACGTGCTTGAGTTTGAATCCCAGTTTTCTCAAGAACCAGATATAATTTGGGCAAATTACTTGACTTTGTGTTTATGTTTGTTTATGGATAAAATGGGAAAATAGTGAAATCTAGATTGTAGAGTCGTAATGATGGTTAATAGAGTAGACCTAGGGAGAATGTTTAGTGACACATCAAGTGCCCATTAAATGTAGCTATTTTATCCCACTTGTTTTTCCTGAATTCCTAGACTTTGAAGTGTTGCTGAAGGTATTTTCCGGGCATCCCTATTTAATTAATTTGCATATTTATTTGGCCTTCATAAATGAGATGAGAATCACCAATTTCTGTATGCTGTGCTCATTGGAATATGCTGACTGGGGATCACCTGTTACTTTTGCAGAAGTTGCCCTGTCTTTTCCATCTCTGCTTACTGAAATAACCTTCTTCTTTTCCTTTGTATAGATATATGTAATCGACAGTGCAGACAGAAAAAGATTTGAAGAGACGGGTCAGGTAAATAATTCTTTTGTTTTATATGAAAAGTCAAGTATATTTTTCTTTCTTTCTTTTTTTTTTTTTTTTACAAGATGGGGTTTCACCATGTTGGCCAGGGTGGTCTCGATCCCCTGACCTTGTGATCCAACCGCCTCGGCCTCCCAAAGTGCTGGAATTACAGGTATGAGCCACTATGCCTGGCCAAGTATATTTTTTTAAATATTAATTCTTCTGTTGAAATAGTTCCCAAATAACTGGGTATTCATTAATCAACCTTGTAAATGTGTGAGAGTGCAGGAGGTTTGGTTTTTTTGGTTAAACTTTACAGTTCAAACAAGACAGTTATTCTAGCAAGCAGACAAAACTACCAGTTGTCTGAAAAGAAATTAGTTGAGTCCTTTAAACAGTTTTTGGATTCTTTTTGTTATTTGTTTCCTTTTTTTCCCCCAGAACAAAGTTTCACTCTTGTTACCCAGGCTGGAGTGCAATGGCACAATCTCAGCTCACTGCAACCTGAACCTTCCAGGTTCAAGTAATTTTCCTGCTTCAGCCTCCCGAGTAGCTGGGATTACAGGCATGAACCACCACACCTGGCTAATTTTTTTGCATTTTTAGTAGCGACCGGGTTTCACCATGTTGACCAGACTTGTCTTGAACTCCTAATCTCAGGTGATCCGCCCGCCTCAGCCTCCCAAAGTGCTAGGATTACAGGTGTGAGCCGCTGCGCCCAGCCTAAACAGTTTTTTTTTTTTTTTTTTTGAGACGGAGTTTCGCTCTTGTTACCCAGGCTGGAGTGCAATGGCACGATCTCGGCTCACCGCAACCTCCGCCTCCTGGGTTCAGGCAATTCTCCTGCCTCAGCCTCCTGAGTAGCTGGGATTACAGGCACGTGCCACCATGCCCAGCTAATTTTTTACATTTTTAGTAGAGACGGGGTTTCACCATGTTGACCAGGATGGTCTCAATCTCTCGACCTCGTGATCCACCCGCCTCGGCCTCCCAAAGTGCTGGGATTACAAGCTTGAGCCACCGCGCCCGGCCTAACAGTTTTTTGATTAAAGCTTTTTAGCTTTAATCAAGCCATTGATTAAAGGTGGTGAGCCGAGGTGGCACCTCGGCTTCATTCTGGGCAGTATGAGCAAAACGCTGTCTCAAAAAAAAAAAAAAAAAAAACAAGTTCAACTTTTAAATTAATTAAAAGAAGTTCTCATTGCAGAGTCCTTGGCCTGTGTCCTAAATGACCACAGGTGGCCTTCCAAAGGTAGCAGTCCTCATGTTTATGTCCCTTTTTTTGAAATTGAGTTGAGAACTCTCCAGACTTCTGGAGACAGCCCACCACCCTTTTATACCCTGATGATTTCTAGATTATCACTCATGTGAAATGTGAGCTTGGAGGCGGAGGGGTCCTGTGTGGTCATCTGCCTCTTGATCCATACAGTTCTCTTTGAAAGCTCATGTTTTAAGTAGCTAAAAGGTGGATTTAATGAAAAAGGTGAGTCCTATCATTAAATACATATACACCCTCTCCTATACTTTTTGCAAACAGAATCACATATACTTTAGACCCCAACCTATAACCTAAATATCAGGGACCTTGCCAGATGGACTAATAAAGTTATTTTAGAATGTAGGGTTGATGAAATGTGAAGCATGTGCATGCATGTTTTAGAGATAGAGATTGATGAGACAGAATTATCTCTAAAGTAATTGTCATTTTCAGTTTAAATTTTATACACACACACACACACACACGCATTGAAAGTTATTTGCAGGTGGTAACTGGGTAAGTTTTGAATCTCAAACCACTTCTTGTTTTCTCCCTTGAACAGTGTTTCTCAAAATGTATTTTATGGGCCAAGTGTGATGACTCATGCCTATAATTCTAGAACTTTGTTAGGCCGAGGCGGGAGGATCCCTTGAGCCCAGCAGTTTGAGACTAGCCTGAACAACATATCAAAACCCTGATGGAGTCTTGCTCTGTCGCCCAGGCTGGAGTGCAGTGGCACAGTCTCGGCTCGCTGCAACCTCTGCCTCCCAGGTTCAAGCAATTCTCCTGCCTCAGCCTCCCAAGTAGCTGGGATTGCAGGCACATGCCTCCACGCCCGGCTAGTTTTGTATTTTTAGTAGAGACAAGGTTTCACCATATTGGTCAGGCTGGTCTTGAACACTTGACCTCAGGTGATCTGCTGGCCTCAGTCTCCCCAGGTGCTGAGATTACAGGCCGGGCATGGTGGTAATTACCTGAGGTCCCAGCTAGCTCATCAGGAGGCTGAATTGAGAGGATCGCTTGAGCCCAGGAGGTTGAGCCTGCAGTGAGCTGTGATTGCACCACTGCACTCCAGCCTGGGTGACAGAGTAAGACATTGTCTCAAAAAAAAAAAAAAAAAAGTAAGGCTGGGCACAGTGGTTCACACCTATAATCCCAACACTTTGGGAAGCTGAGGTGGGTAATCACCTGATGTATGGAGTTGTAGACCAGCCTGGCCAACATGGCAAAACCCCATCTCTACTAAAAATACAAAAATTAGCTGGGTGTAGTGGTGCATGTCTGTAGTCCTAGCTACTCAGGAGGCTGAGGCAGGAGAATCACGTGCACCCAGGAGGCCAAGGTTGCAGCGAGCCGGGAACACGCCATTGTGAAGCATGTGCATGCGTGTTTTAGAGATAGAGATTGGTGAAACAGAATTATCACCCAGCCTGGGTGACAGAGCGAGACTCTGTCTCAAAAAAAAAAAAAAAAAAAGGAAGTGCATTGTTAAATATCATAGATTTTATCCTTCCTTCTCTCTCCCTTCTCTAAATCTAGGAACTAGCGGAATTACTAGAGGAAGAAAAACTAAGTTGTGTGCCAGTGCTCATCTTTGCTAATAAGCAGGATTTGCTCACGGCAGCCCCTGCCTCTGAAATTGCAGAAGGACTGAACCTGCATACCATCCGCGACCGAGTGTGGCAGATCCAGTCTTGCTCAGCTCTCACAGGAGAGGGCGTTCAGGTGAGATTACAGGAAGACTCGGCCACCTGGCAACAAGACAGCTAACTGAGGTGGTCTGTCTCATTGGTTGGGCTGATCTTGATGGGCAGATGAGCCATTTCAATATATGAAATGGAGAAGGGCATGGAGAATTTTGGTTCTTTTCTGCTTAGTAACCAATCAGATATCACAAGGTGCTCCAAAAGAGCCACAGATAAGCTGCCGCACACGTGCAGCAAGCTTCCCCACTGGGTAGGATGTGAGAACAGAAGACTGAAGATTGTCTCTAAGTCTAGGATTCTTTGATGATAGATTGGATTGGGGTTTTGTGTTATGTCTAATATTACAAATGCTAAATGCCCATACTTCCAAGGTGATGGTCACCAAAAGCCGTACATGTACTAGTTATCCTAGAAGTGTTTTTTGTTTCTTCTGTTGGTTAGCTCCGCTGCGCCTAGGGTTAGTGTCTGTTTCCTGCTGCTTCAAGTTGGTTTCCCCCTGGGAGGCTTCTGCTAACAGAAAGCCTCATGCTTTGTACTTAGGAACTGTGTACTGGCTCTCATTGCCCAGGCTGGAGTGCAGTAGTGCAATCTCAAGTCACTGCAACCTCCGCCTCCTGGGTTCAAGTGGTTCTCCTGCCTCAGCCTTCCAAGTAGCTGGGATTACAGGCATGTGCCACCATGCCCAGCTAATTTTTTGTATTTTTAATAGAGATGAGGTTTTGCCATGTTGGCCAGACTGGTCTTGAACTCCTGACCTCAAGGGATCTGCCTACCTCAGCCTCCCAAATTGCCGGGATTATAGGCTTGAACCACCCTGCCTGACCCTTATTGCTTTTTTAAAAGTCAGGGCCGGGCACAGTGGCTCACGCCTGTAATCCCAGCTACTCAGGAGGCTGAGGCAGGAGAATCGCTTAAACCTGGGAGGCAGAGGTTGCAGTATCACACCACTGCACTCTAGCCTGGGTGACAGAGCGAGACTCCGTCTCAAAAAATAATAATACTATAAAATAAATCAAATTTTGTCTAACATATTTTACTCCAATTGCATGAGCCTGTCTAAAAGGTTTAGAACACAACTTTAGAAAGCTGAGAACATCTTGGGATTGGGGGCTCTCATGAAGGTGGGGCTGAAGAAAAGCAATAGAGTTTGTGTGCATACTCATAAGAAAGTGCGAGTACAGACTGGGCGCCGTGGCTCACGCCTGTAATCCTAGCACTTTGGGAGGCCGAGGTGGGTGGATCACCTGAGGTCAGGAGTTCAAAACCAGCCTGGCCATCATGGTGAAACCCCATCTTAAAAAAGAAAAATAATCAATTTAAGAAAAGAAAAAGCCGGGCGCGGTGGCTCAAGCCTGTAGTCCCAGCACTTTGGGAGGCCGAGGCGGGTGGATCACGAGGTCAAGAGATCGAGACCATCCTGGTCAACATGGTGAAACCCCGTCTCTACTAAAAATGCAAAAAATTAGCTGGGCATGGTGGCACATGCCTGTAATCCCAGCTACTCAGGAGGCTGAGACAGGAGAATTGCCTGAACCCAGGAGGCGGAGGTTGCGGTGAGCCGAGATCGCGCCATTGCACTCCAGCCTGGGTAACAAGAGTGAAACTCCCTCTCAAAAAAATAAAAAATAAAAAAAAAATAAAGAAAGAAAAGAAAAAAGAAAGTGTGAGTACAGCTCTGGAATCTTTCTTTTGCTTGACCAGAGTGTTGAAAGGAAGAAAAAGAAAGTCAAAATTAACAGTAAGCCTTTTATATCTTCTGCTAGCCTTACGGATGTGACAAAGGAGGACTAGAGTGATCTAGAATCAGTATTTAGAGTTGTGACATTTAAAGTCAAGGACACTGCTTTAGAGAAGCCTGGAGGTAGAGAGGGAGCTGCTATCACTTTCTTCCCAACCCCCCCGCCCTCCCCCAACTCCCGGTTGGAGATTAAAGGATAGAGCTCTATGCTGCTACCGCAGACACTCAGTGCCCTTCACAGGATCTTTAGGCCACAAAAGAGGCAGCAAGCTACTAGGCAGCTAGAGGGTGGGGCTGGGGACAGGAAGGGGAGTGCTGCAAAATAAACCAGTTTGAGTGAGTAAAGTGAGATTACTATATATGATTTGATTTCGATAAAGTTCTTCCCAGATCAGGGCCTTTGGCAACCAAGTTCACAGGGAATGATACCAGGAGAGATCTAACAAAAAACTGTGTGCAAAAAAAAAATCCAATGATTTTTTGTATGGAGGAGAAATAGTTTGAAGGTCACTTAATTAGTTTAGTAGATAGTACCATGGTGTGTAGAATTGGGTAGTTAAGACTGGGATTTCAAGGTTAATGAGATTAGATTATGGTTAATAGAATGATATAAATTTAGAGAATTTAACCATTATTTGAAATGGGTTATTTAATAAAAATGTTAATTAAGAAGGGAATCTGCTGTCTATTGTCCCTTCGTGGTAACCTTTGGGGACTAGAGAAAGGTCGTGGAGTTTTGCTGTGGAAATGCTTTTCGCCATAAGCCACTGGCTGACCGTGTACCAACCTCCCTAAGATGGTGCCTCTTACCCAAGCTCTTGTCCGTGCACCGGCTTCCTGGTTTTAACCTTAAGAAGAGTCACTTAAGTGGAATTCCTTTCCAGCATTGCTTAGTTGAGGTATAGGTCTTTAGTGATTTTTATTTATTAGGGCTTAAAATATTCCTAAAAATGAAAGACTTTACTAGAAAAGTGTCAACAAGATCTGATGGTTTCAGGTTTGCTTTCAAACATGAAAACTGTGCAATAATTACTGAAATGCCCTAAGTTCATATTTTTTCCTCCGCACCCCACTCTACCTCCCCAAAAGCTGGCCCAAATGATTAGGCTCTGAATAGGAAAGTCAGGTGACATGTGATTCTAACGACACTGAAAGAAAATGTACAACCATTTTTTTTTTTTTTTTTAAAAGGACCTGGAATTTCAGTTTCAGGTGTTTAAAGGCAGCATCTCTATTTACATTGTACGTGCTTAATCAAAACGTATTCAAGAAACCCGTCTTGTGCTGCTAAATAACAGGCACCCTCACGGGGGTGAGTTAGGGAACAGCCACGCCCCCCTGTGGATGAAGTAGGGCAGGTACTTCACTTCTCATTAGTTGAGTAGCTTAAACACATGATTTGAGACTATGGATGTTAATGATTCCTGGGATGGATTTCAGGGTCCTATTCCACCTGGTGTCCTAAAGGTGCACATATGAAGCCATTACAGGGGTGGGAAACACCACCTGTTGTTCACCAGCCCCTGCTTCAGGTGTGGAAATTGACCTTTGAGAGAGGATGGAACCAGGGTTTCTTGCCTGATTGGTGCTGACTGGGAGGCCAGCCCACTGTGTAGTTAAAGCAGGCTTTCGTGGGAGACCATCAGGTGTGGAGAGTCGGTAAGGGGCAGGAGAAGCGGAAGGAGGTCATCAGCCTCGGAAACTCTGTCCTGCCTAGAGGCCCACTGTCCAGGGGACTGTCCAGGGGAGTGATGAGGAGAGACCCAGTTATGTCAAGTGGATGAAAGCAGAAAGAGGAGAAACTGAAAAATGTCTGGGAGGGAGAAGCCAGACTCCATTATCAACATGGAGGAAGTGTCGCTCTGTGCCCTCGAGGTCAGGCCTGGGTTGCCAGGGCCCCTCCTAAGAAGAAACATTCTGCATTGGGACTGTCAGTCTTTTGTTTTTCTCCCACCTTTGGGTGTCTAGAAAATAGTAAACAAAGGATCTGGCTTAGAACCAGAGAAAGGTATCAAGAATTCCATCCTTCCTTCACCCACAGACCTGAATTTGAACCCCAAACCACAGCTCTTCCTGCTGTTACAGTTTCAGGCATTTGAAGACATTTTCTCTCTAAAATACTGTGAGTGTGTATGTGCCCATGTGTGTGGTGTGTGTGATTAAAATGATGCTGGCTTTGAATTTCCTCTCGAAGCAGAGATCCGCAGTTTTAACCTAAGCTCAGCCATGGGTCACCACAGAGACTCGCCTCCTCCCATGGCCTTGAGCCAGCAGATTGTTCCCGGGGTGTTGCTCTCCAGGCCATCCCTCATGCCCTGCTTTTCTTGTGACATCTGCCCCACATCCCTCATCTCCTCCTGGAGACAGGAGCCACAAGCAGGTCACATAGGCTTTCAGTTGCCTGGCATCCACAGAAGGGACATGAGCAGCCTGAGCACTGAGCTGTCAGCCGTGCCCGAGTTGGCTTCCAGAGGAACACTAAATGCTCACTTGCCCATTTCTTGGTTTTGCATCTTTTCCCTTGACTTGGGGGTCTTCTCCCAAATATGTCAACAGAATTTCAATTTTTTTTTTTTTTGAGATGGAATTTTGCTCTTGTTGCTCAGGCTGGAGTGCAATGGTGTGACCTTGGCTCACTGCAACCTCTGCCTCCTGGGTTCAAGCGATTCTCTGGCCTCAGCCTCCCAAGTAGCTGGGATTACAGGCACCTGACACCACATCTGGCTAATTTTATGTTTTTTGGGTTTTTTTGTTTTTTGTTTTTTGTTTTTGTTTTTTAACTAGAGATGGGGTTTCACCATGTTGGCCAGGCTAGTCTTGAACCCCTGACCTCAGTTGATCTATCCGTCTCAGCTTCAGCTTCCCAAAGTGCTGGGATTACAGGCGTGAGCCACTGCACCCAGCTGTATGTATATATATGTATTTTTTTTCTTTTTTTTTTTTTTTTTGAGACAGAGTTTCGCTCTTGTTACCCAGGCTGGAGTGCAATGGCACGATGTCGGCTCACCGCAACCTCCACCTCCTGGGTTCAGGCAATTCTCCCCCCTCAGCCTCCTGAGTAGCTGGGATTACAGGCACGCGTCACCATGCCCAGCTAATTTTTTTGTATATTTAGTAGAGATGGGGTTTCACCATGTTGACCAGGATGGTCTCAATCTCTCGACCTCGTGATCCACCCGCCTCGGCCTCCCAAAGTGCTGTGATTACAGGCTTGAGCCACCGTGCCCAGCTTTCTTTATTTATTTATTTTTTTTTTTTTTTGAGATAGAGTTTTGCCCTTGTTGCCCAGGCTGGAGTGCAATGGCGTGATCTCAGCTCCCTGCAACCTCCGCCTCCCAGGTTCAAGCAATTCTCCTGCCTCAGCCTCCTGAGTAGCTGGGATTACAGGCATGTACCACTACGTCCGGCTAATTTTGTATTTTTAGTAGAGATGGGGTTTCTCCATGTTGCTCAGGCTGGTCTCGAACTCCCGACCTCGGGTGATCTACCTTTTTTGGCCTCTCAAACTGCTGGGATTACAGGCGTGAGCCACCACACCCAGCCCAATATTTTTAAAAACGACATTTTTATCACTTCTGTCTAAGCCTGGCCTCAGTTGTTATTGACTCCAGGTGTACATGGAACTGCTTATCTGTGAGTCAGACCTCAGGTTTATTTTTAAATTGTCAAACCTTTCTGGAGACTATGAAAGCTGTCTCGGGACATGCGATTTTGCTACCTCTTTGGTGGTGCAATGCCCTTTGTCACCAGAAAAAAATACTAATTGAGAGTGATATTTGATGTACGCAGCATCCAGCTGCTCCTTGACCCGGGGGGCCTGATGGCACAACGGGGTAGGCTGCATTGCTCAGCAAGGGTCCAAGCACCTCGTCATCTTAAAGCAGTTACTGCTGTGACCATGTAGCCAGCATAGCTCTAAAAACCAGGCCCACCCAACCATGGCTGCCACTGCTTCTTTCCAACTACCGAGCGGTGATGGATGCAATGTACCGAGATCAAATTTAAAAGAGCAGTGCAGTCAGAGACCACTCCTCCCTTGGAAAGAAGCAGTGCACCGGAACTCCTGGGATGCAGAGATCTGGGAGGAGTGTTTCCACCCTCCCTGGTGGAAACACCTCCAGCACCCCTATGCTTAGGGGTGGCCTGCTGTTTCTCCCAGTGATTATAAAAGGAATAATATTGTGACATCGGGAACTTTATTGCCTCCCTAGGAGGCCAAACGAAGCTCAGTATTTGAAATTCCATGTCTCTCTTTAGTCTCTATTATTGAATTGAAACTAATCAATTCAAATTCAGTTTCAGCAAGATTGGTGAGGGGAGGGTCCAGGGAAGAAGGAAGGGAAGACTGTTCATACCGTAAGATTGTCATCCCCATAGTGAAGATCAAATGTGCAGAAAATTGGTCAAACCAGTTTTTAACAATAAAGGTTCAACCATTAAACAAACCGATGAGTTCATTTCCTTCTTTAGAAGCAGAACAGTAACCTACTTCAAGTAAATGATCACCTTTTCTCAGTTGTCTGTTTAAAAAAAAAAAAAAAAAGCCTTCCTTGCCAGATGAAAGCAAGAGTGGTGTGGAACATTTATTTAAGCATAAGAAGCAGACGGTTCCTCCTCTTGCAAGTATGTTGTCTCTAAATGTAGCATTTCCACTGAAGATGGTGGTCTGGGTGGATGGTTAGAATGTGAGGATTGTGCAGCCAGGTAGATAGCCAGGCCTCTGCATACACAGATACCCACAGCCCAGGAATCTTGAGAATGGAATGGCCCATAACAGCCTCTGGCACTATCAGAGCTGCAGAAAAGCATGCAGGAGGCTTGATTGGGGCTACTCCAGCTTCATGAAATCATGAGGAGGATAAAACTAGAATTGCTCCCTTTCCTGTCTTCAGGGTGCTTCTCAGCTCCTCTCTAACCTTGGGGCACAGCCCTTTACCCAGCAGGTGCCCACATCCATGGAGAATTGGTAAGCAGCTCTGGAGTGCCACACTGGGCACCACAGCTTACCTTTGCCCTGCTCTGCCCTGTGCCTTCGTCTCCTCAGCTGTGATAGAGAAATAACACTCTACTTCACAGGCTTCTACAAGGATTGACTTAAAAGATGTGAATTGGCCAGGCACGGAAGTTCACGCCTGTAATCCCAGCACTTTGGGAGGCCGAGGCGGGCAGATCACAAGGTCAAGAGATTAAGACCATCCTCACCAACATGGTGAAACCCCATCTCTACTAAAATACAAAAAATTAGCTAAGCATGGTGGTACATGCCTGTAGTCCCAGCTACTCAGGATGCTGAGGCAGGAGAACCACTTGAACCTGAGAGGCAGAGATTGCAGTGAGCCATGATTGCGCCACTGCACTCCAGCCTGGGCTACAGAGCAAGACTCTTCTCAAAAAAAAAAAAAAAAAAAGAAAGAAAATTGGCCAGGTGGTGGCTAACACCTGTAACCTCAGCACTTTGGGAAGCTGAGGTGGGCAGATCACAAAGTCAGGAGATGGAGACCATCCTGGCCAACATTTTGAAACTCCATCTCTACTAAAATACAAAAAATTAGCCAGGCGTGGTGGTGCACCCCTGTAGTCCCAGCTTCTGGGGATGCCGAGGATCGCTTGAACCCACGAGATGGAGGTTGCAGTGAGCCGATTTCGAGGTACTGCACTCCAGCCTGGGCGACAGCACGAGACTACATCTCAAAAATTTTTAAAAATGATGTGTATTAAGTGGGCTGTGGGCTGGACATCATGCCAGGTTCTGAGAAGTCTGACAGGAAGCTCCCCTGGGGGAACCACCATTGCATTTCGTTTCCAGGGAGCAGCTTGAAGCTCACAGAGGTACCACTATTGGCCACTGCCTCCCCTCCTCTCCCACCTCCATCCCAGTTCCCTTCTGGCTAGCACAAGAAAAGTGCCACTCCCCAAGTCCCGGCCGCCTCAGATCAGAGGGGCCTCCCGGGCCCAGGGCAGCCACGGGACTTGGTCCCCTGTTTACGCTCCCTGTGCTTCCCACACTCAGGGTTGCAGCAGCAGCTGCAGGGACCCAGGCCGGGAGTCAGCTGGCAGGGACTGGCCTCCACGCGCCCTCTGTTGGCAGGACAGTGGCTGGCAGGGCTTCGCCACGGCTGGCTCTCACAGGCATCTGGAGACACCGGACACTGCCCCTCAGCAGGGTGCTGCCGTTTGAACCCTCGTTTGCCTCCATAACAGAGACCCAGCATAAAACCACCCCACGACCTCCACCTTCTGCTGTGGGCTCCTGCAGCTGAGTAAATATTTTTCCTATCTTTTTGCCTGCGTTCATGTTCAGTTACATACAATAATCTCTCCTTAATCAGCCATAAAGCAAGAAAAAAGGCAAAGCGCTGTTCACATAGTGTGGGCACACTGTCCTTGATTTCTCTGCAAAGAGGGTTGACTGCGATCCTCCGTGGAGGAGAGGATGTTGAGGTGCGCAGCTTTGAGAGTGTGCACGGGCTCCTGAAGGTGGGAAGTGCTATGTAAGTGCTGAGCTATTCAGCTTCCCAGGCAAGAGGAGATGCTTATCTTATTCATCCCCCTTTTATTTGTAAAATCTTTTTGTCTCTTGGCAGGTGATCATTTTTTTTTTTCCTGAAAACCAATTAGCTACTAAAATTAAACATGCTTCTCTTTAAATTAATCCTTTTCATAAAACGGTCTTAAAACTGGCCTTGGCTTCTCAGTGTAAGTAGCTGACCCAGTTGTAATTAGAGATGCGTTTGGAGTCCCCCTTTCTCCCATCTCGGCAGGCGGTTCCTCTGCCCTTCCCCCTGCTGCTGCCAGGTGCTGTCCACCTTCGGGCTCTCGGCCTAGCTGGCCTCATCTTGGCAAAGGTCAGAGGTCGGCTCTGGGACAGCCGTCAGATTATCTGGTTCTGCTGCCCAAGTGCACTGACGGCAACTGGCGGAGCTGTAATCACTGTAAATTCAGGTGACGGTCAGATGAGCCGGGAGAGAGGATGCCTGCTGGTTGTTTTGCAGTGATGTATTGTTTATGGGATTAATGTTCCGAATGGCCAAGGGTGTCAGCTGATATTTATTACTGTAAGCTGTCTCAGCTGTTCAGGTTCAGCAGCTAGATCCATGGCCACAGGAAATGTGGGACTCGGTGGCGTGTCCAGTATGGCTGATGTGTGCAAATGTAGCCGGGACCTCCGTGAGTCTGTGTCACAGATGCAGGGAAAAGGATTCATGGCAGCAGCCGCCTTGGATTTTATTCTGGGCTTCTGAGGGAACTCCACACACTCTTGAAGGTTGGGGAGACTCTAGGGAAGGGGGGACTGTCCAGGTCTGGCTCCAAAGGGGGTTGGAAAGGAGGTCACCTCTGACAGGCCTGGCATCAGCAGGGATTGTGCCGCCTGCCAGGTGGCTGTAGGCATTGTGTGGTTTTTACCTTGGTCCCTCTCCAGCCTTCTAAGAGAGGGTGCTTTCAAGGTCACTGTGCCTTTAAGGGAACCTTCTCCCCGTCCCTCTGTACGCCGCTTAAAGCTGTAAGAAGCGGGCCAGACCCTTTTAAACCTACCATTGGTGCTGCAGAGCGAGAAGTGAATGCCCATCGCCCTGGTGTGTGACTCGTAACACACACTGTGGTGGGTTTGTTTTTCCAAAAAGAAATTTAATTTAACCCAAGTGTACACTGTCACACTGTAAACACACTGGGGCACCAGAAGGGTGGCTTACTGAATGTAATGGCCCAGCAAAGGTCAGCTTTTAGAAAAAGCCAAAAATGGCTGGAATCTTTCCTGATAGCTCCTCAGTCAGGCCTTGGATGCAGGCAGATGTGTTTATTTTTTCAGAGGGAGTTCCTGAGGACCCATCTCAAGTTCAGGCGCTGGGCATTCCCCCTCCCATCTCCCTCTTGTGCTCTCGGAGGCCTCCCTCCTCCTCCTCCCCCTCCTGGGAGGTCACTGTCCCTGGTCACCCAGGTGGGCCCCTGAGACAAGCAAACTCCCTAGAGCTGGTGGTCTGGGAGGGAGGATCAGGGACCCCCACTGCCCACCCCTCCAGGCCGGAGTGTGTGGTGCTTTTCTTAGAACTAACACTGCCTTTCTCTGCCCATTTCCCTCAAAGGATGGCATGAACTGGGTCTGCAAAAATGTCAATGCAAAGAAGAAATAAAATCTAGACGAATGGAGACGCAGGAGCTGCGGGAGCCGAATTCGGTCCTGAAAAACACTAATTTGCTGCTTTCTGACCAAATGTTTTTCCATCTGTGTACAGCTACAGCTGTTTGAAGAGAGAGAACAACACAGTTTAGAAAGAATCCCCATTCCAGCAGTAGATTTAACTGATCTCTGAGGTTCAGTATCATTTTTCAAATAAAGGAATTATATTATTTCCTCTGCATAATTGAAATAGTATTAAATGTCTCAAAGCACATGATTAGAAAATGAGATCTTTTAAATGAGCAAGAGATTGCATTGCAGTTTAGACAATTCCAGTGGGCTTTTTTTTTCCTCTCAAAAAAAAGAAAAAGAAAAAGAAGCAGCAGCAGCAGCAGCTTTGCTGAGTTCATTTATTTACTGACCCGGCCCTTACATTCCCTCCATGGTTTAACCACAGACAGCGTTTGCTGGTGCTGGTCAGTGATTTTTACCATCACCAACCCAGCCAGGCTTCAGTCTGTCTGGCAGGAAGCTGCTGAGTTGGGGAGGGGGGGGCGGGGGAGCCAGATAATTAAATCATCTTGTCATCTTGCAGGTTGGAGACTACATATGTAATCCTCACTCTTTGGACAGGAAAAAAAAAAATCCTTTCTTGCAAATAAGTCACTACAGAAACATACCCCATCCTTACCCGCCCCTGCCCCCACCCCAGCCAGCCACACAGAGAAGCAAATTCTTATGACTTTTGACTGTAATGACATTTGGAATGTAAGGAGAGGTGGGAGGTTTAATTCCAGAAAAATTACAAGGTCCTTAAAAAGCTCTCACATCGAGGGCTCAGGCTAGCGTAAACAGGCTTTCTCCAGCTCAGTGGAGCAGTGAGCAGCCGACTCTGAGATTAGCTGGCTTCTCCACGGCCATCCTATAGAAGGGATTTCTAAAGCTCAAAGAATTCTGTGTTTAAACGATCACAATAGGCCGCTGCTATCAGATTTTAGAAATAAATGCAGCTTTACCATGAACCTGCCCCACTGAGAAAAGCCAGGCAGATCGATTTTTAGAGCGATCAATTCCTACAGTGCTGGCAACTTGGTGGTGTGGGATGCTCCTGGGTGGAGAGGGTTTTCTGCTGGGGAGGACACTGGTGTGTGTGTGACCGCAGGAGTTGTGTCCAGGGAAGCCAGAGTCCCCCCAGCTGCTGGGCTCCTCTGCCTCTCTGCAGCAGAATGTCTGTCCTCTGTTGATTGATTGGAGAGGAATGGCAGAAGATTTCTCCTGCCCCTCATTGCAAAAAGAGCTTGTTTCCCTGAGCCTTCAGAAATCCTCAGCTTCAAACACAGGAAAACAGGCCAGAACATCACCCGGCTCCTGAATTAAACTCCGTTCTGGTGCCTGAGCTCAGGGGTTTTCAGAGAATGAATAAGAGACTGTCCAGTGACTGGTGGGTCCCTGGGGGCCAGCTGCCTTCTCATCCTGGGAGGTGGCGCTTCCCAAGCCCACCAGGGCCTGCGAGCAGACCGAAGGGGCCACTGCAGCCCCTGGCCCTCAGTGCCCAGCTCTTTCTGGCTAAGAGCATACAGCAGAGACTGAGGCATAGCTAGTTTCAAAGGCGGTCTGGCGTGAAAGTCATTAACAAAGCCAGCCGTGAAAAGGTGTCCCGGAGTTGCTGCGGACAGACCTGTAAGGACTTGCAAAACAAAAGAAAGTGAGGTTTTTCTAAACCGCAGAGCTAGCTGCTCTCTGCAGCCTCCTCCACTGGCTTCTCTGGCTCACCCAACTCCTGCTCTTACTTTGAACAGAGGCAACACAGAATTATAAGGAATCAGAAATCCCCCTTCTACCTGGCTGCAAATGTGGCTCTAGCACTTGAAAATTCTTTTTCCATGCCGGGCGCGGTGGCTCAAGCCTGTAATCCCAGCACTTTGGGAGGCCGAGGCGGGTGGATCACAAGGTCAAGAGATCGAGACCAACCTTGGTCAACAAGGTGAAACCCCGTCTCTACTAAAAATACAAAAAATTAGCTGGGCATGGTGGTGCATGCCTGTAATCCAACTACTCAGGAGGCTGAGACAGGAGAATTGCCTGAACCCAGGAGGCGGAGGTTGCGGTGAGCCGAGATCGTGCCATTGCACTCCAGGCTGGGTAACAAGAGCGAAACTCCGTCTCAAAAAAAAAAAAAAAAAAAAAAAAAAAAAAGAAAATTCTTTTTCCTTCTGAATAGTTCATCAGGGACAAGTTAACTGAGGGGCAAAATGCCTGCTTGGAGGTCTACAATTTTGGAACACTGCAGAATGGAACTCTGACTCTGGCAGTGGAGGGTCTGTAAAATATGTTTGTTCTTTTACCACCAACTTAGGGGACTGTTTTAAAGAGCCCTCCCAAGGCCTCCGCTAGCAGGCAGAAGCCACTCCTCTGATAACGGCCTCTGTAAATGTTCCGATTTGCTCTTCGGCTGCAGAGACTCAGAGACATTGCAGATGTCACACGCTTTCATCTTCCCTTTGAGCCCTTTTGAACCCTCCTGGGGCTCTGGGGTAGATGAGAGAAGCCTGAAAAAGGCAGAGTTTGAAAGCTCCCATTTAAAAACAAAATGCTTTTAAAGTCCCCTTGCCTCTCCCCTGCCCACTCCTGCCCCCTGACCAGAAGACAGAATTTGAAGCTGGAAAGGGGAGACCCCTTTTCCCCTCCTCCCACCTCCAGTGAGTCTTAGTCAGACTTTTGCCCTGTGAACGACTATTGCATCTGAATGTGCGGGGCAGAGGGCTGGGGGCCAGAGGGCAGGCGAGGCCTGGGAGGGGCCCAGTGTGCGTGCTCCAGCCAGCTGTGGGAAAAACTCGAGCCCTCCCCTCCTCCTGACCTAGCCCGTGTGGCTGCTTTTGGCTAGATTCCCTGCACCCTGTGCAATACACCCTTTCCCCTTCACTCTCCCTTGGTTACTATGGAAACAAGGGTGTCATTGATGTGGGCTGAGCTGGGGAACATGTCGGTGCACAGCTGAAAGTCAGCGATTATGCCGCCGGTTAGAAATGTGCCAGGGTTAAAGGAGTCCGCAGCTCCCACGGCTGCTGGGAGGACACTCTCCTGCCTCTTCCTCCCTCCCTCCGTCTCCACTCCTCTCTCCTGGCTTTTGACAAATTTCTTTAGTCCCCTCTGGACTAAAGTAGTGGCTATTTTTGTGCCACTCTGCGCCCCACCCTCACTGTTGGCCGCTCCTCATCCGGCCTGGCCTGGAGGGTGACACCATGTCACCCTCACCAGGACTCGTCTCTCCATTCCCGTCAGAGTTTGCTTTGATTTCCCTTTCCTTTCCTTCTCGGGGACCAGTTCTTACTTCCTTTTATTTTTAGCTCTGCACTCCATGTGGTTTCAGGGTTCAGTCTGATCCATCAAAAGGTTCTTTTTTTATAATCCCTTTTGAAAATGATAATCAAAGGAAGAGATGTGGTGTTTGGTCATGTGGAAAACTCAATGTATAATTTAGATGTCTGTCAAAAATCCAACAAATAAAATTTAGCTGGAACGAAGGCAGCCTGGAATGTGTTGTGTTCTTTGCCGAAGCTCAGAGAGAGCCGAAACGTGTTTGTCCTTTCAGGGGTTAGCTTTCTTCAAGAGGTTTTTTTCCAGAAGGATATAGATACATAATCTAGCATGCCAACAACAGCAATAATAGTAACCCTTCATTAAGCCTCTCCTACGTGCCACACAGTTTAGATACAGAATTTGAAGTCGGAAAGGGGAGACCCCTTTTCCCCTCCTCCCACCATGAGGAGCGTTAGTCCCCCTTTGCAGCGGAGGAAATTGAGACATTTGCCCCAGTTAAGGAATTTGCCTGGAATCACAGAGCCTTTAAGTGCAGGTGGGGCCTGGAACCTGCTTCTGAATGCTCAGCAAGCTGCCGCCTCTGGAGGAAAAACACAGTCAATGGCATGGCCGATCACACCTGTAATCCCAGCACTTTGGGAGGCCAAGGCAGGTAGATTACCTGAGGTCAGGAGTCCGAGAACAGCCTGGCCAACATGGTGAAACCCCATCTCTACTAAAAATACAAAATTAGCCGGGCATGGTGGCACGGGCGCCTGTAATCCCAGCTACTTGGGAGGCTGAGGCAAGAGAATTGCTTGAACATGGGAGGCGGAGGTTGTAGTGAGCTAAGATCGCCCCATTGGGCTCCAGCCTGGGAAACGAGTGAAACTCTGTCGAACAAAGAAAAAAATCAATGGCCTGTCTCCCAGCAGCCTCAGCCCCCAGCCTCCGAGTGCTCCTTCAGCCTCTGAGGAGCACTGCTCCCCTGGGTTCCCTGCCCCAGGTGTTGGGTGTCCTCTGCTCACACAGCACAACCATAGGCTGAGTTTCATCCTTGGCCAGGTCCAGCCCAGCAGACAGGAAAAGGGGAGAAGAAATAATTAGCAAAGTTAGGGCGTGCAGGGAGACTTGCAATTACTTAAGTACCTAAGACTGGATCTTCCATTTAAGAAGGGTTCTGAGAGGGAAAAGACCTGCCCAGTTATACGGAGGGTGGCAGGATTGGCGGCAGTTCCAGGCTGTGCCCTCTGGAGCAGAAGGGTTCATTGTCCCTTCAGCAGACCAGAGACACAGCACAGCCAGTCCCAAAGGGCCTAACCATTTGTATGTGTGTGCGTGTGTGTGTTTTTGAGACAGGATTTCCCTCTGTCACCCAGGCTGGCGTACAGTAGCACAGTCACAACTCTCTGCAGCCTCAACCCTCCCGGGCTCAAGCCATCCTCCCAACTCAGCCTCCCAAGTAGCTGGGACTACCGTTATGTGCCACCATGCCTGGCTAATTTGTTAATTTTTTGTAGAGATGGGGGTCTTACTATGCTGCCCAGGCTGATCTCTAACTCCTGGACTCAGGGGATCTGCCCACCTCTGCCTCCCAAAGTGCTAGGATTTACAGGTGTGAGCCACTGCATCCAGCCTTTGAAGAGCAAGCTGTGGGCAGAACTAGCTGGTAGCTAGAAGCAAAAGAAAGAAGGTCTAGGGTTGCCAGATACATTATAGAACATTCAGTTAATCTTGAATTTCAGATAAACAAAGAATAGTTTTTTCTTTTTTTTTTTTTTTTTTTTTTTGGTTTTTTAAAACGTTTACTTTATGTGCAAAGAACTATCATGGTTTTTCACGGTAGATGTCTTGGATAATCCTTTGAAGATCATTTTGTCCAACTTAATGAAACCTATATCCTTCGCGTACTGATGGAAACACTGGCGGCACATATTGAGACCATATTTCCGGATCAAACCGTGCCGGTTTGAACATACTCGACAAGAGCGAGAGCCCTGGCCGAATTTTCGAGGGTGGCTCCAGTACAGCTGCTGGTGACCCATCTTGCTCTCAGAAAGGCAACGAGGTAAAAGGCCAAAGAATAGTTTTTAATTTAAGTATATCCCATATAATATCTGGGACATCAGTATAGCACTCAGAAAACACACACTGTTTATCTTAAATTCAAATTTAACTGGCGGTCCTAGCTTTTTGTTTTTTTTTTTTTTTTTTTTTTTTTTTGAGACGGAGTTTCGCCCTTGTTACCCAGGCTGGAGTGCAATGGCGCGACCTCGGCTCACCGCAACCTCCGCCTCCTGGGCTCAGGCAGTTCTCCTGCCTCAGCCTCCTGAGTAGCTGGGATTACAGGCACGTGCCACCATGCCCAGCTAATTTTTTGCACTTTTAGTAGAGACGGGGTTTCACCATGTTGACCAGGATGGTCTTGATCTCTCGACCTCGTGATCCACCCGCCTCGGCCTCCCAAAGTGCTGGGATTACAGGCTTGAGCCACCGCGCCCGGCCTGTTTTTGTTTTAATAAATCTGGCAACCCTTCCCAATGCTCCCTGCTCAAGAAAGGAACAGTGCAGTACAATTAAAATGTGTGGCCAGCCTGGGCATGGTGGCTCACGCTTGTAATAATCCCAGCGCTTTGGGAGGCTGATGTCGGCGGATCACCTGAGGTCGGGAGTTCAAGACCGGCATGACCAACATGGAGAAACCTCGTCTCTACTAAAAATACAAAATTAGCCAGGCATGGTGGCAGATGCCTATAATCCCAGCTACTAGGGAGGCTGAGGCAGGAGAATCACTTGAACCTGGGAGGCAGAGGTTGAGGTGAGCCAAGATATTTGCACTCCAGCCTGGGCAGTAAGGGTGAAACTCTCATCTCAAAAAAAAGAAACAACCTGTGGTCGGATGGTTGCTCACGTCTGTAACCCCAGCACTTTGGGAGGCTGAGGCAGGCGGATCATCTGAGGTCAGGAGTTCAAGACCAGCCCGAACAACATGGTGAAAACCCATCTCTACTAAAAATACAAAAATTAGCTGGGTGTGGTGGCAGGCGCCTGTAATCTCAGCTACTTGGGAGGCTGAGGCAGGAGAATCACTTGAACCCTGGCCAGAAGGCAGAGGTTGCAGTGAGTCGAGATCACGCCACTGCACTCCAGCCTGGGTGACAGAGCAAGACTCCATCTCAAAAAAAAAAAATGCATTTTCTGGCTGGGTGCGGTGGCTCAAGCCTGTAATCCCAGCACTTTGGGAGGCCGAGGCGGGTGGATCACAAGGTCGAGAGATCGAGACCAACCTGATCAACATGGTGAAACCCCGTCTCTACTAAAAATACAAAAGATTAGCTGGGCATGGTGGCGCGTGCCTATAATCCCAGCTACTCAGGAGGCTGAGGCAGGAGAATTGCCTGAACCCAGGAGGCGGAGGTTGCGGTGAGCCGAGATCACGCCATTGCACTCCAGCCTGGGTAACAAGAGTGAAACTCCGTCTCAAAAAGAAAAAAAAAAATGCATTTTCTGAGAGAGCCGGGTTCAATCCTTGCTCATCCACAGATCAGCTCTGGAATCTTGAGCAAACTGCTTTCTCTCTTCCAGTCCTACAGATCTGTGACATAGGACTAAGGTGGGAGGGAGATTGATTTGTTTTTATTTATTTATTTTGAGACAGTTGCTCTCTTGCTCAGGCGGAATTGCAGTGACACAATCATAGCTCTCTGTATGTAGCCTCGAATTCCTGGTCTCCAGCGATCCTCTTACCTTAGTCTCCTGAGTAGCTGGGACTACAAGAATGCAATACCATGCCTGGCTACCTTTTCTATTTTTGGAAGAGATAGGTTCTCACCATGTTGTTTAGGCTGGTCTCAAACTCCTGGGCTCAAGTGAGCCTCCTGTTTCGACCTCCCATGTCGCTGGGACTGCAGGCATGCCACATGCTCAGCTAATGTATTTTCTTTTATTTTTCTTTCTTTCTTTTTTTTTTTTTTTTTGCTTTTTATGTGGATTTTAATTTATTTTAGGGTCTCACAATGTTGAGTAGGCCAGGGTAGGGAGATTTAAGAGATCTGATGTAAACGAAGTCCCTAGATCTCGGGCAATACCTAGCACATAGAAGGAACATTCCATGCCTCAGCTTCTTTTTCTTTTCTTTTTTCTTTTTTTTTTTTTTTTTTTTTTTTTTTTTGTTGAGTCAGAGTTTTGCTCTTCCGCCCAGGCTGGAGTGAACTGGTTTGATCTCAGCTCACTGCAACCTCAGCCCCCTGGGTTCAAGCAATTCTGCCTCAACCTCCCGAGTAGCTGGGATTACAGGCATACGCCACCATGCCCGGCTAATTTTGGTATTTTTAGTAGAGATAGGGTTTTGCCATGTTGACTAGGCTGGTCTTGAACTCCTGATTTCATGATCCACCTTCCTTGGCCTCCCAGTGTTAGGATTACAGGTGTGAGCCACTGCGCCCAGCCCTCAGTTTCTTATCTTTAAAATTAGGCAATAATCATTTTGTGGAGTTGTCAAGAGGATGAGATGGGATGTCTGTACGGTGAGTAGTAGGTGCGAAATCAATGGCAGCAAATTTAACAACTGGCAGAAAGTCTGGAGTCCGGGCTTTCCCAGGCCCCCAAGACCTCTGCCTACCACCATCCCTCCCATGTGGCTCTGTGACTTTCTTTTTTTTTTTTTTTTTTTTTTTGAGACGGGAGTTTTGCTCTTGTTACCCAGGCTGGAGTGCAATGGCGCGATCTCGGCTCACCGCAACCTCGGCCTCCTGGGTTCAGGCAATTCTCCTGCCTCAGCCTCCTGAGTAGCTGGGATTACAGGCACGCGCCATCATGCCCAGCTAATTTTTTGTATTTTTAGTAGAGACGGGGTTTCACCATGTTGACCAGGATGGTCTCGATCTCTCGACCTCGTGATCCGCCCGCCTTGGCCTCCCAAAGTGCTGAGATTACAAGCTTGAGCCACCGTGCCCGGCCGGCTCTGTGACTTCCAAGGCCGGCAGCCTTCCTGGAGGGGCTGGCAGCCCCCTCCCTTTGTGGCTCCCAGGGCCACCCCAACCACACCTCCAGCTATTAGATTTCTAAGTGGGAAAGGCTCTTGTCAGAGGCTCCTGATTGGCTCCAGGCGGAAACACAGTTTAGCGCTCAGTCGAGCTGCATCTCAGGCCTCTGTCCCTGTCTCCCCCTCATTCCCCTTAATTGCAATCTGTTCTGTAATTTCCTTTTCCAACACTGCAGAACACAGAGAAGCTGCAGCCACCAGGAGCAGGGGCAGGGAGAAGAGAGCCCTGGCTCCCTGCGGTCATTCTGCTGCTCCAGCACTACTGGGGTGTGTGTGTGTGTTTGTGTGTGTGTGTGCCCAGAACCAGCCACACACCGGCGTGGAAGTCCGGCCAATAACCAGGCCCCCACAGTGTCAGACCAGGGGAAAAGAGTTAAGGAGGTAGCCGCTAGCACTGGGCACTTCACAGTTATCTTATTTAATCCTTGCAAAGCCACTGTTAACTGTAGGTACTGTCATCCACAGTACAGGAATGGGGCTCGCTGAATTTGAATCACTTGCCCATGATCCCACAGGAAGAACTGGGCAGAGTCAGGATTTGAACCCAGGCCTATTTCACTGCTGGGTCCCAAATTCACACCTCAATACCTGCTTCCCTTTTGGCTCCTGACGCCGTGCTCTCAGAAAAGGAGCTAAGAGATCCTTCTGCACGAAGGAACACGGAGCCATTTCTTCTCCAGAGTGAATAGCAGTGTCCCAGGGACAAAAAGCCTTTGCTAAAGAAATGAAATATTAATGACAGAACTGCAGAGAGCAAGCTGCGTCCAGAAGCGGGCAGGGAGAATTTGCTTGGATACCTGAAGCTGAGAGGTAGAGGGTTGGGGGCGGAATCCCATTTAGCTAAGCCAGCTGCTTCTCCTTTGAGTCATTAGTGGGTCTCATCCTTTGATGAGCCCTACAAGATAGCCGTTTACCGTCCCTAATTCCCAGATGACGTAACCGATGCTCACAAAGGTTAAGTCACTTGCGCAAAGTCACACAGCAAGGAAATGGCTTGACTGCGATTCCCGCCAGCCTGCTTGCTGAAAGCCCATTTTATTCCACGATGCCACCCCAGGGAGGTTGGTGGGAAGCAACCCTTGCCCTTTGCCACTCACTCTGTTTTCAGGATCTAGAAGACCCTGCCCTGGGGTCCCAGAGTCAGCTGCTGCTCTGGATGCCACCAGTAGAGGGGGCAGGAAGTGCCCAGCCCCACCTTTACAACTAAGGAAAGGGCCTGGGGAGGCTGCTGCAGTTGTGACTCTGGCCTGGATCAGCTGCCTCAACTCCCACCCAGGGCTCAGACGCCCCTATGCCAGCTCCCTGGAGGCACAGCCCTAGGAGCGCCCTAAGACCCCTGGAGCAGGAGGGAAAACAGCCGACCATAGGAGACACACAGGCTCCGTCCCTAGACAAGCCCTCTTGGCCTTGTTAGTGGAATGCACGTTCCTAACACTACAGAGGCCTGTCACCCAAGTCACCACTGACCCATGTGGGAGAGGATGCCCCACACCAGAGTACAGGCGTGGCACCAGCTGTAGGCCCCTCAGCCCGTTCCCTTGGGTAGGGCACGAGCTGTACAGCTGCACTTGGCCCTGCCTATGACACCAGCCAGACCCCTCCCTGGGCCTGCGTCTCGGCACTCCCCCCGCCCAGGCCCAGGCCCAGGCCCAGGCCCACCTGGAGCACCTGCTCCGGGATTGGATCCCAGCATGCTCCTTCCCCAGCCCCCCTTGCTGCCAGGACGTCAGAATCCTGCAGAATGATGCCGGTCCACCCAACTCAGCCCCTTTGGATTGCCTCTGGAAGGAGCCTGGTCTAAGGCTGTCACATAGGAATGGGCTCCCCTCGAGCCTCCAGAGGGACAGTGCCAAAGCCGTTTTCCTGCCGGAATGCTACAGATGGCTTCTGGGAAGAAGGGGATAAGACGCTTTGGTTTGTAAACAACAGCCCATCCTGGACCAAGGGATACAATGCAGCCCAACTCTCCCCTCGCTCTCCCCAGCTCCTATGGGGCTGCAGCCTGGATCC